TTGCTCATTTGCACTCAGTTCTGAGATTGGACAAAGTCTTGCGAGTAATTACTCCGATTGAATGGTGAATAATTCTTGTTTCAGTCATGAAAAGACGGTCTAGCAAACAATCTCGTCTTCCGTGAATCGCCATCAGCCCAAATACAACACGTTTAAATAGTTAGGATAAGAAAGGGTGGATGGATTAGATAGAAAATGGAGATGCCAAAATGCACATAATCGGTGTGAATCGTGTACACGGCAGCTGCCCGTGCGACAGTTGGCCATAGTAAAGTCAAGGCTTTGACAAATTGTTTATGCACACAAAATGGAGGGTTGTTGAGACGAATGGCGATCGCTTCCGTTAATGCAAAGATTCTGCACCTGATAAGCTTGGAATGGACACCCCTCACACGGTAGACCGGCAGAAAAGCTTTGTTGATAAGGACAGGATGATTATTAGTCTGGACTACGTGCGCGACAACTGCTGTGGTGCACGTCTTGTTCAATCCGCGGCTTAGCCAAGCTGGATGAGACTCGTGAACGCGTTCAGACAAACGTCACATGGTGCGACCTATGTAACTTTTCTCACAGGACAGGTAAGTTGATACAAACATAAAAGAGATGACATCCACAGACTGTTTATCCTTCAGCTGGAGGTGTAGCATGGGCATGGAAGTGAAGATAATACGTAACTGTGTGGTCCAGTAGGTGATGATGACAGCCGCCCTTAATCGTTTGCTAAGGTATTCGAAGTGTTATCTCTTTGGAATTGCAACGATTAGTAGACAGCCGCCTCTCCTACTGTAGGTGCTTTCGCGATCGTATATTCCTGCCAATGAAAGCCTCAGCATGGCTATTATCAAGAAACTTTGCTCAGTATAGCGCGCTCGACTTCATTTGTATCATGGGAGCATATTTTCATCGCTGTTCCGAGAAGACACCGTACTAGGTGGTTTCTGTCGAACTGGCACGTAGCTATCAAAGTGTGTATATTGACCCGCCCATATTTTTCTGTGGATTCTACGCTGCAGCGACCCATCTAGTTGACGTGACATTAGAACATACAAAAAACCGGGTAACCGTTATTCTATACTTACAGGGTGACAATACGGATGCCTTCAAAAAACTGAACTGAATCTCTGTCAGCGATATCACTTGTATCTAAGAATAAGGATTGTGAGATTGTGGTACGTCTAATAGATATGGACTTACGATGGTTTTTGTCAAAGTCCACTTCCGCCCCAAGGCTTAGCTGGCGACACTCCATCGCCGGAACCTGATCTTTGAGGGGATCGTCTCACTTTGGAGTGATGTCTTGTCGTATTTTCAAATACTCTTTTGAAGCCGCGATTGCGACTGTATTCTTATTGCGGATGATCCTCTCTACAGTGTCTTGGTCAGATAGCTTAAGGATGACTGAAGTCTTTCTTTAACCGAAAGCATGTATACTGCTTGCTTCAATAATTACCTTTCCACGGTTCCGCCGTTATGCCCAGCTGGTACAGAGGAGGCGACAACATTTGTGTGACAAAGTATAAGATGGTTAACTTTCGATGGAACAACAGTGATGAAGTATGGGGCCCCGCGTAAGTGTTCTAGCATGTTACTCAATTAAGAGATAGGAAATAGTAGTTCATCGAAAGCGCTAACAGCCTCAAGCTTTTTGGTGTGAGACTTGACATGATATACAAGCCGGTCTACCCTGTTGAATACTTCCCATAAGTATTTGTGGTGGAAGCGGAACATTCTTTTGGAAAGTTTTAGACTTATTGAAATTCTTTAAGCATCCTTTGCTTGGTAACAGTAACCTGGTAACCAAACGCATTTCCGTAAAGTTAATGGCCTGAACCGCATTTCTATGGAATAGAAAATAAATTTATCCGATTGGTAAGTGGAGCTGGTATAGTAACGGTAAGCAAAAATACATTAACTTGCCAAAGTAATGGGATGAGGGCAGGAAAAATAAGCAATGGTAAGTGTTTAACGAGGGAAGAGGACTCAAGCGTTGAGTTCGTGTGAAGAATAATGTCAAGTATACGCCTAAAATCTACTAGACTGTCAAATAGACAGGATACGAGGGAAACCAATTGTTTTAGTATTTCCAAAGAAGTAATTCTAAAGCACCTATAAATCCACCAAGAAAGGATCCTAACACTGCAGCCAGAGTATCAAATAGACGTCGCTAATCACAGTACTCAAGGTAAAAGCAAAGGGTGAGATTTTGGACTTGTGTAGCGACGGTATCAAAAAGTATGGGTATACGGTTATATAAAGCAATGCAGGAGAATAACTTAAATTATGGAGTCAACTGTGGCAGCGGAGTACCGAGCAATGGTAGATACGTAAAACCAAGCAAAGTTCGCGGCCTTCCAACCTTAGCAACTGGGGTGAACGCCATACATTCAGAGAATCATCAAAAATCATCATGCACATAAGCTAGAAGTAAGAAACACTACGGATACTGCACCGGAGGTCGATGTCCATGCTTTTGTTTCTCTCATGTGGCGTAGGCTTGTGTATCGCATTCCCCTATGACTTGCACAACTAGTGTCAGTTTGTTGGCCACTTCTAACGGGCTTCGCACCAACTGTCTGTCTGAAGCACTGGTCACCTTGTAGGTCAAATTTAGTGAGGCGCTCAAACGTCCGGTATGGTATATTTAAAAGAGACTAATTGTCATGACCGAATTCAAATATCGACGCATGTTAAGCTCGAGTTGTGCCTGCTTTGCGCGTATGCCGCGGCACGCGGTCGACCCAAACACAAGGACCGTATCTCAGATGGGAACCCTTTCAGCGCCGATTCTGCCACTTCGAAAATGGACTGTGTCTGCGAAAGGGTAGTAGAGTTCACGAACCTACTAGAAGACAACGAAGTGCCTATACGCATTCGCACGAACCCATTCACTTGATTCCAGGGTGTGCAAGTAGGTCATCAATGGTCCATTTCCAAGAAAGTAAGGCGCAGTATTAGGTTATTGTATTTAACAATGAGATATCTCTTGTAGGCCTAAAACGAGCGACCCTACTGTTGTAGTTCCGTGGCTAGAATCGTCAAGTCAAGGGTGCGGTAAACATGGACATGACCAAATTACTATAGGTAGCACGGCGCGGCTCTCGTCATCGACCTGTGCTTAATTGCCGAGCAGAGGACAGAGTGGCATTAAAACCAGCTTGGGACATGTACTGATTACGGAGGAGTAGTAGGGGAGGATGAAACGGCAATCTAGTGCTTTTCAGGACAAGTGACAGCTGCCTGACTGAATCCAAATGTGAAAAGTCGCAATGTACAGCAATTAAGCGGTTGTAAGGATATAACAGTTAGAAGAAAACAACAGCGCACCCGAAAATCTGAGATCAGCAAACTCAGTTTGATTTATACATAAAATTATTCTGATAAGGAGGAATGGTAATGATGTCCCAATCGGAGGACCATAGATAAAAGACGGCTACATAAAACCCTGTGATCAATTACAACGTTCCTCGCAAGAATAAGACTAAAGTAGGATTTTGAGACAAGATGTGGGTGATAAGTATTTTACTGGTGAGCTCAAATCTGAATCGCACAATGTCTGAATCAGTGAAAATAACCTGGGTCGCATCCGAAGAGCGATGGGTCGAAAACGCCATCAGAAAGTGCGCAATTCCGGCAATGTGGAAGGCTTGTTATTGAACACAGGTAAGACTCACAAGTCGAAATCTGCGTTGGTTCAGTAAATTAATTATGACCCTGATGATCTCGAGGGTATGTGGAACAGCATCAGGAAAAGAACCGATACAAAGAGTAATTCAGCTAATGACTCCGTGAAATATTCCAAGCTAGTCTAGGGGTTTAAACTGGTTGCACAATTTCGTTACGCTTTAGGATACGAGAATAGAGCATGGTGTAGACAATAAACGGACTAAAAGCCGAACCATGAGTGATTCTGTAACACTAGACAGATAACCAGCGATATCGTATTCGAAAACAGTAAGTGTAACAAAATGGCAGAGGTGCGGAGTGCACTGTCGGATTGACAATTGCTGTATGGGGAGTTATTTGCAGCATAGCTTTTAATCAAGACAAAGTATTGGAAACAACGCGAGATGCCGACCGAAAGTCAGTTATGGTAACTTCTCTTTTCTTTGTATGTAAAAGATGCACAAGATAGTGGTCAGTGCTCCTCTTCGGAGAACTGCTCAACAAATTCAGCCAACTTCGCTCAAGTAAAATAGACGCGGAAGCAAAAAGTATAGAGGTTAGCACTTGAATGACTGGTCGAGTGCTGTCCAACAACACTACCGCAATCGTTACCCACCGGGGAATATCGGCTTTTAGTGACCGGGAAAGACTAGTACCACATGGCTCGTCATACGGCCACCTCACCAGTGCGACAGAAATGGGTCATGAGTGGGATGTAGTTGGCAAGCAAGGAATGTAATCGCGTGCATTACAAAAGCATCGGCAAGTCGAAGACCACAAAGTTCAGCGACCGTCAAGCGAGCTAGTCGATCCGAAACAGAATCCAGTAGAGCCATGCCCGAATAAGTTGATTAAACGAGTCAGCGTAAAGTACAGAGCGAATTAGTCGGGGCTTGCAGAATGCATAAAGTAGATCAAAAAAGAAACGACTATTCAACGGGAATCAAATGCTGAGTTGCAGCACAATAGAGAAAAAGGAATGATATTCAAACGTTAATGTTCAGGCACCGATCGAAAGTGGCGAGAAGGATCAAAAAGTCAGGACAGATTGGCATAAACAACAGCGAGCTGAGCACAGAAGGGAACGAGCACACTTCCTCGAAACGAAAATCTAAGTAAGTTTTATTGGGGGAGGAGTAGAGCATGAATCGAAAGTCACAAAAAAGCAAATCTGGGCACAAACTAGAAAAAGTAGCTGTTTTGATCTGGAAACAATAGGTAAAATGCATTCATCGAAAGAAGGCAAGGTCAAGGGAACAAGAGAAAGGACTGCGGAATGTCCTCCTCACCCGAAAGACCAGGTCCAAAGCGCGACAATGACATGGCGATTAATTTGATCACCGCGTATGATACACATTGTCGTACCAGTGAAGGAAGTGTTGCACCTGGTGGAACACAGTGAAGCTGATCCCAGACGAGATGGGGCCTTTGATCCAATTTATTGTAACGCCTTTATACAATCCGTGAAACACACCCTCGGTGGAATACACGATGCGGAGAGTACGCCAGATACTTTTTAAGTATTCAGGATGGCCTGTACAAGAGAATGACAATACAGTGGGAGGATCGCAAGCAATTAGGTATCAATAAAGACCTAAACAGCAGCACGTTATTATGAAAACTGTAGATGAAGGGCATCTGTACCAAAGTCTAACAGGCGCTCGCTGATATAAGAGGCAGCAACAGAGCAAAGGTGGCCGTACCACACATATTGGTTTGCGTTACATTGCTAGCCGTGATGATCTACAACTCATTTTGGACATACCACGTGTGGGAGCCTCTGCTTGCGGTACTACCAGTCGTCACCGCACCAGTCACTGTATATCAGAGAGGTCGGTGAACCTGTTGGAATCCAGAAGCAAACTCCCGGATGCCTCTGAGCGCAATGTAATGTGATGGACTAGTAAACATGAAGTAAAGTGGAGCTCAAGAAATGGAGGAGGCAGGAGCAGTAGGCAAGTACCGTAAGCTCTCCTAATTGATCCGCACCGCTGGACCCAGGAAGCCAGGTGTCAGCGAGACAGAGCGGATACCCTGATTCACAAGAAGGAGTGCCGTATGATGCGTTGATTGGAGCACTTTCGAGAGCAGTTATGTTGGTCCTTTGGTTCTGGACCTCTTCCTACTCAAGAAATGTAGACTGAGTCACGAACAATTAGTTCAGAGGCGCTATCGGAGGCTGAGGTCCGAAACGTGATTGCAGCTCTTAATGGTTTCTCAGCTGCTGCGCGCATTCCCTCGCACCCTCACTATTTAAGGATATTGGTAAGGTCCTCTGCAAAGCACTGACCTCCCTGTTCGAACATGTCTGGAAGGTAGGGACCATTCCAGCTAAGTGGAGTGGTTTGATCATAGTGGTACTATACAAGAAGGGCAGTCGCACCGATTGCGCTAACCTCAGAAGTAGTGGGTTAAAGTCAATGGTGGCGAAATTACTGGCCAAAATTCTCGTTTGTCGCCTCATTGCCGAACGGGAATCCCAGATTAGGGAAGAAAAGGTAAGTTTCTGCTCAGGAAGGGGCTGTGTAGACCATATATTCACCTTGCGGCAAGTGCTAGAACAGCGCCACACATACCGCAGACCGCCGTGCTCCTCGACTTCAAGAGTACGTTCGACCCTATCGATCGATGCAGTATGTTCGAAATACTCATGCGGAAAGCTGTTCCCAGGAAATATGTGAACACATTACGTGCCCTGTACTCGAACACTACGGGCCGCGTCATGGTCTACAGTGTCTTATCACATAGCTTCCCGACAACAAGTAGCGTTTGTCAGTCTCGCCCAAGTTCCTTATTTTTGTTCAGCATCAACGTGGACTCCCACATGGAGTGTTCCGTTTGCGGAATCTCATGATGCAAGTGTTGAAATGTCGCCTGCCGAAAAGCCAGTTGACCTTGATTATGCGGACGACATAGTTTTGCTGTTTAACGATGTTCCGGTGGCACACTCAACCCTGAATAACTTCTTTAGAGTAGTTCCATCATTCAGCATGCAATTCGCACATAAAAAGTGCAAAATGCTGTTACAGGACCACCAACTAGCTGATAACTCCTTGATGGTTAATAGCAAGGGATTCGAGGTAGTTGATCAATTCCCTTTCCCTGGCAGAGCTGGATCACCAAAGACGGGCGCAGAACCACTGAAATCAGTACACATATTGAAAAAGCTAGAATTGCCTTCACGAATCCGCGATATGCATTGCGTAATAAAGACCACAATGAAGGCCCTCCTATTATAGGAGTAGAGACTAGACCCCTCTGATCCGGGCATCTGCGGCGTCTTCAATTCCTTGGCCGTCGCTGCCTGCGAACCGTTGCTGGTGTCGGATGGCACCAGCGTGTCCGCAACGATGACGTGCGCAGGCGAATGCTAAGCAAGGATAATCACGCTAGTTCATTAGAACAACAGTTAGCGCTGAATAAGTTACGTTGGCGTGAACACGTACTACGTATGTCAGGTTACCGCTTATCGAGCATGGCCTTGTTCAGTCAGCCAGGTGTAGGGTGGCGCAACGCTGGAGATGGACAAAAGTTAATTTGACAGTAGAAAGTGAAGTCATTGACTACGAAATTGGGTGCCGTTGGTCCACCTAGCCTTTAGACCTGGAGTCCACGTGTCATATTTTGTGCTTGTCTCGAGACGTCACGGCACATGGCTGGCAGTCGGCCCCAGTGATATGTCTACCGTAGTCTTGTAGTTCGATTGTCTGCTTCAAGTGTGCTTGGTGCTGAGTTATCTACGGAGTAATGGTTGATTATGACGCCGGACAGTAAAAGAAAACAGTCTCGCCAATGGCACCTTCGCACGATAGCGAGTTGTTTTTGATCGTATGTTGTTGACAAGGTGTAAGCGCCTTGTGCCTGAATGATTGCTTAGGGCATTAAGGTTTTACGCCAGGTCTCCCTTCTCTCCCTCTTATTATTCTTCCTTCCGTAGATCATAGTGGTTGCACGGAAGAGAAGCATCGGCACAAACGGATGATGTACTACTGTTGATCACGAACATGCCAAAAACCCATCGACAAAGATGGCTAACGAAATGTGAGTAAAGAGCTAAGAATAGGGTGCGAGATACGGTGCTGTTAGAATAAGTAGATTCGTGCGAGAATGAGCATGATTGTTATTGTACCCACGATCCGTCCATAATCCGGGGACAGCTTCTTGCACAATAGGAAAATATACGTATTATTATAAAATGAACCCACCAGTAACCCTGGCATTTTGCATGCGCCGGCGTACAATGTCTAATGGATAGGATGCGGTTTGCCCTAGAACACCAGCAATTGCACCACAACATAAGTTCTCAAGTGGTTGCAACTTCTGTGGCCGCACGCCAGTATGCCGGAAGTGTCCATCTGCATAAAGAAAGAAGGAATAGTAGCAGAATGTGAAGCAACAGATGAAACTGTGATTGCTAACATCACACGTTAGCTACAGTTGAAAAACAAATCAGCTGCTGTAGCACAATACAATAAAGTTACATAATCGGAAAGGAAGAGACAAAAGCAAGAAGAATGAAACAAATATTATTTTGATTTGTGTTTTTATTCATTAGCAGTGAGAAGGTGTTGAGGGAGAGGCTGGACGAGGGGAACAAATAGACTCACAACATAAACGCCAATGAGGTCAACTCCACGCCACGTCAATAGATGTCTTCCACTAAACCTGTTCATCCTCTTTCGAAAACTTAACAGGGATCAGAGGTTCCAACAGAGAACAAGTTCGAAGTCAAAATGTTTAACCTTCCAGACCAGCTTATCCGTTGGACTCCCCACCACTTCTTCCATTCAGGTCTAGGCCGCGCAAACAACGCACGTCGTGGGAGTTAGTGTGTTAGCATACGTAACACGTAGCCCAGTCATCGGAGCGTAGTGCGTGAAATAACAGTGCTAAGCGGTTTACTTCCTTTACCTGGGCAACAAACAAGACCCCGAACACGCCCTCTGCTCACATGGCGATCGAACACAAATCTATTTATGTCTGTCAACCTGATAAGCTTGGTTTCACAACCGTATAGTAGGGTTGATGAACGACACTATGGTAGATCCTACACTTCAGGACGAGATTGATGCCGCGTCGGCGCTATAAATGGCGGTTTGTCAAAAGCGCTCATAAGAGGGCTGGAGCAAGTCTAGATTATACTTATACGGTATTCACCATCTGACTTCACATCCGGCTATTGTGTGGGAACACGAATACACAACGACGGCCCAAGCAGCAGGCAAATCACTAGAAGAGGATGAATCTAGTAACTCCAGCCAAAGGCACTGATTTTACAGAGCACACAACTCAACGCTCTAAGTGCTTTGACAGGTTGTGGATGCGCTGTCACCCCGTTGCCAATGCCAGATTTCATGCTTCCCGTTTCCCATATCAGACGATGTTAGATGACACCAATAGACTTCGTGGTCTCTATTCAGGATAGCATAGTTTGAGACCTTTGCGAGTTTTTGTGTTTGTGTCCAGCCGAAATGTGTCGGTAAGCGTCTGCGTAGGGACCCTTCACCCAAACTGGCGATCCGATGTGTCTCACGAATACATACCTGTTGCTAATAACGACCGGTGAACACGTGACCAGTGACCGTCAGATATGTTCACTGGGCATCTATTCAACCCAAATACGCGATCAGAATACCTGGCTCCACCAGTTGGCAGGTACCTATGTGCTCACAGCGTCATCACAGGCGTCCACCGAAACGTATTTGGAGATCGTCCCACATTGGTGCAAGGTTGGAGTCCACAGTCGTGATCCAAAACAAGCGACGGTTTTGGACGTAGCCACTCCATCGGTAACTGGTCGCGATGTGATGGATTTATGCCCAAGACTGATTCGAAGCTGGAGGGCGTAATGTTACCCTTCTGCGAGTGTTGTGTTGAAAGTTAATGCTCGCAAGGAACGGACGAGCATCTTCACAGAGGTGTAGCAACTGCGGAAGACTACACCGTGTTGGCCGCTCAGCTGCAGCACATCACCGCACAATTTTCCGATCACCAAGCAGCACCACAGTGTATACTTTTCCGATGACGAAGGAGCTCGTTCAGTAGACGATAGCGCTACAATTTATGGGTGCGTAGACAGCAATGAGAAGTAGGCACCGTTTGTCCCCGAACGACTTCGAAGCAATGAACGAGTGAGCAAATCTGACGACGCACAGCTGGTTGTTCAATGGGACGCAGTCGAACAGGGCACCTCCAGCCCAGGGATTTAGAGTCTGCCCACACTGGCTTGACCAGTATTGGAAGCTGCGTTATCTCAAGACAAACGCGATGAGAAAGTGCCGCCAGTGTTGCTTGATGTGGATCGTAGGGTAATAAGGGAACTTGGATCATGCAGGCGCGTTTTCGATAAGCAGTAGATATCGATCGATAAGGTCTCTTATATTCGGGCAAGTGCTGCTGCTCTTGACTGAGCTGAAACTAAGCGCGCATGTCAGGGTATGCCAGTTTTAGTCAGGATCGAAGGTTTCAAACAGAAACGACTGAACTGATGTCGTCCTCTTGGTTGAACATGGATTTGTCGAATGGACCGGTACGACACTCTGCGATTGCGTGTAGAACGAAAATGGGAGGCAAGGTGGCGGAGGGAGAAGAATTGGGAGTTGAAAACGCCGGGATAAAAGTGAAGTCGGAAAGCAATTATAAGGGTGAAAAAGCATAAGTGGAGGAATACAAAGAATTGAGAACCTGGGCAGTAGCATCCTCACACCTATCGGCTCTGCTGGATGTAACAGATGGGGTGAAGCTGACTCTCCTGTGCAACAGCCAGAGCATTAAGAATTCAGTTGAAGAGTCTATTGTTGTTTTGTGTGGACAGGATCCCGTCAGGTTTCTCAGACTTAGACAGGAGAACGAGCAGGATTCTCAACCAAAGAATTTGGTACGAAAACCTGGTGGCAAGACAGCAACGGTTTGGCATTTGGCTATAGAGAGAAATAAGCCCTCCAAATTCTAACTCCCAACATGGAGGACTGGAAGAATGAGCTTGTCTGGCCGCTAATTATTGACTGGACTAATATGAGCGACTCTGAAGGTGTAAAAAAAACCCATAAAGCAGGGTCCAATGGATTGTTGAGATATGCAGACCAGCGCAACCTAACACGTTGAGATGGGAAGAGATGCAACGCAAAATTGGAACCAGATCTGGAAAAAGCAATTGGAATGTCGCCGCAGATTTCATGAATTAGATCTAAAAAGTAAGACGGGTAGGCACTCAGCGCGAATTCCGTCATCCCCTGGCACAAGCATGTAAAATATGGGGCCCTACGAATGTGCACTTATTGTCCCCAATTCAATTAGCCATCATGTGTGGTTGACATGGCAACAAATACGATCTATGCGGCATTTAGGGGGTCCTCAGTTTGAAATGCCTGTCCCAGCATACCAGGTGAGGGATGATGTATTTTGGCCACAGTGTCATGAGAGATCAATAATCTGCAAACGGTGAACTCGGCAGATCGCATTCAGGCATGTAGGTAATGTTCAGCTTTCAGACGATGTCAAACAACAGTGATGGGAATGGGCAGGTGTCAATTTAAAAGCCACCTCGTACCTTACAGAGTGAAGAGAGGAGCCAATACAAAAGGTTGAATTGCCACCACCGTCTCTTAGCAAAAGTAAAGAAAGGGGTAATTCAAGCGACTCTGGTTGGTTTCAATGATACCAGCTTGCGTTGGATCACACTGTCAATGAGAGTTCAGGAGGGACAACTAGGAATAGCGACACAAACAGTACATCTAAAGTTCAGGTAGGACAGAGAGAATATAGCGAATGTCTAGGTTTCCTAATAATTGCTTCACCTACTAAGAACTTTTTGGTTGAGGGGCTCGATGAGCCGGAACGATACCAGACTGTACTCAGCAAGATTGGCCTTATTCAACTCACGAATTTTCGCACATCCGCTAAATCACAGAGATTCACCAAAACAACAGAAATCAACAGACGAACGATTTAATAGCCCTAGAAAAGCAAGATATTACAGGCGGGAAGGTGCAGGAGGCTGTCAGATAACCGTAAGAAATCGAAGTGTAATAAACGAATGTGACAGAACAGAGACCAAAGCAAGTCAAAGCGGCCTAAACTCAAATTGATCGCCAGAAAGCACTTGGAAACAAGTTTTTACCACTATGCGGTTGACCAGCAGAGTGCGGCAATCATTCGTTATACATAAAAAAATTCGTCGATAAGTGCTAAATGTCAAGCAACGATGAATATTACTCTACTGGTAGCTCCACAGTAACCAGTCTCAACCAGGCCCATACACACCGATGATGTGCAGGTTAACACAAAAGGAGTCGTTAGGTGAATAGTAGAATCATTCAGTTTAGTGATTGGAGCTAAAAATATCAACAAGATATATTGGTCAGAAAAGTCGAAATATCGTGCAAACAGATGAAGCGTCGAATCGTGGGCACAAGTTCTTTATTCACTGTGATGGTAGTCACATAGAGCATGGCGGGCCGCCAACTTGTCGCACATCGGACAATTCAAACAATAACTCAAGTCTCATCGTACGACTCTTTGGACATTCTGTCGGTTGTATAGAGCTGTTTCACCATAGTTTGCGACAGTCATCCCGCCAGACAAATGTAAAACACTACTCCAGGATTGGCAGATGCTCGTGCCTACGCACACCATTGCGGGTGACGTCCTGGAACCAGTCCATAACCTCACTTAACTAGGGAGTTGCATCACAACTGGTGGCTGCATTGACGATGAGGTCTCACGACGGATCGCGAAGGCCCGCCCTGCATTCATCAGACTGAGACACATGGCGCCGTCGCGAAGTCAGTCTAAAATTCAAGGGCATGGTATACATTGCCTCTGTCCGTGCGGTCCTCTTATACGGCTGTAAGACCTGGCCGACTCGCTCGGAAGACACAAAACGAGTACGCTTTGGCAATCGTTGTCTGCGTAGAAGTGCTCGCGGGTGGTGGCAGAATCAGGTGAGCAACGCAGAAGTCCGAGAGCGAGTGTTTGGAGCAAACAGCCCATACTTCCAAATCGTTATTCTCAGACACCTATTGCGCATGCCAGCTTATCACTTTCCTCGTCGAGTGTTATTTGTGCTCCCCGGAAGCGATTAGAAAATATGTCGCGGTGGACAACCAATGATGTGAAGAAGGAGCATTAAGAAGGCAACTTCAAGCTTAGCATTAGCATATATATATATATATATATATATATATATATATATATATATATATATATATATATAACCAGTTCGGCTTCATTATAGACTAGGAAAGAATCTGTCTAAAGGTGTTCCGTCAGAGATAAATACAGAGGATGGAAGCGTTATCCCCAGAAGTAAACTGTGAAAAAGATTGTAAGTAATCCATTGGGACAAAACAGCAGAGCAAAGAGTAAGCACGCGGCTAATTGCAAACAATAAAAATACCATGAAGACGGAATACGCGAAAAAACTTGAAAGCCAGGCGTGCCGTCAACCAGGTAAAACACGGACGAGTCGAATCGTCAAGTGACAGGTTCGGTCAAAAAGAGAGGTTACCATTCGCATTTGTTGATTGGATAACTCCCGGTTAATTGCTGTGTGAAGTGACGTGCTTAGAGCGGTTTGGTTATGTGATTTTATAGGCAGACAAACACATGATTCCATTAAGAGCATATGACGGCGACTCACCCAACCGCCGTCCTTTTAAAGTTTCAAATGTGAAAAAGCCAATACCGGAGTAGGGAATAACACCGAGAATAGTAGGCAAGAAGCCACGATACAGTGCCATTATGCCTTCTTCCCGTATCACAGTGCGGATAGCGTGCACAGGATTGTTATATCTAAGAGAGAGAGAGAGAATGAATAGTGCCAAAGACAGGCTCTAGGGAAGGTGCATTAGAAGTTTTGCATAGTCAAACGTTGCACGTGAATCTAGCAGCACATATTTGCTAACAACCGAACACCTTGCATGCGTCAGGTAGGTAAAAATATGCTTTGCGCAATTGCCTTTCGGGTCTTTGGAGTCGAGTTAACGACAAACAAAATGCCAATACCGGTGTTCGTGTGGGTAGTGATGGGTGATGTTGCCACTCTGTAGCTCCAATCGTTCATCAGTTTGGTTTATAAACAGACACATCCTACCAAAGAATTGCACTTTTTACAAAGCTGGCCCAGAAAAAGGACGCCAATGAATTGACAAGCTTAGCTGAACGCGAGAAACAGAAGAACGTCTGCAAACAATTGCGAAGCCGACCAGGAGGTTCGCTCCAGTTTAACAACTTTCGTCTGTGCAGGAGTACGGTGGATTCAATTGTCTTGAAACACAAAAGCGGAGGGAACAAGAATTGAAATCGTCGAATGAAGTGGTCGAGAGTCCGAAGTGAGGAAACAAATGCGAGAGCGGTCAGGGATGACCGCGCTCTAGTCGATATGGTGCTTAACCAAGGAGCCTATATAAAGAGCAAAAAACTGACTTATCGAAGGGTAAAGAAGAGAATTGGCTGTGATGACTAAGTGTAGCCTCAAGAAAATCAGATCAGATAAATGAACCAAGTACGGGCACAGAAGTGTAGTAGATCCACCTGCTTGAACCCGTAGCGCCAGGATATCAATAATCAACACTGATGAGAGAAATTGGACAGAAAGTAGAGGAGACAAACGAAAGGGATTAAGGAAAGCTAAAAGCAACATGATTCGCATGTTAACAAGTAGATGCAAAAGTACTAGTGACCCTGTGACCACGCCGCATCGAATGTGGTGAAGCTAACTTCGAGCGCTCTTACGGTTTGCACTGGCGTGCTCGAACAACTTCTCCTTACGTTTCAGACACGACGCTCAATGCATACCACATGCTTTTACGCAACTACATGCCGTTGCGGCAGACAACGCACACCGAGGCAGACAGTCAATGTACCAATTGAAGATATGACTTAGTAAACATTAGCGAGCCAAGTTCAACAGACATGAGTGTAGCACTGGAGAGTTTCTTTTCGAGCACCAATTGGTGGTGCTTCCACCACATAGCAACAATACTCCTCAGGTACCTTGAGTCAAAGATGGCCATCTTTAATATGCAGTACCGATGGATGTTATCCGTAATGCAACACCACCGCTGCGTTAAACATCATGCCCATGAAACATCAGCTGATATCCCACTGTCTCCATATGTGATTGAGGCTTTGAAAGGCCGTGGGAGGGGCTTCCTGATATGTCTAGACGCCTCTTACATGATTACCTAAAGTAACACAACTACCGAGGCAAACGAGCTTATGGACGACTTCGAGTGGTTGCTGTTTTGATGACAGCTAGCACTGTAAGTTTCTCAATCCAGTCCTGCAATGGTACCTCACATGTTGAATGTGCTGTACGCCGCACCAAAGAATCCAGAAGCGTACGTGCAGTGACTGAGTCAAACCACCCGCATGAACTAAGTTTGATGGCTGACCGACAGTAGAACCTTCACTCTGAAATAGGCTGTGTAAAAACATTTGTGATCATTTCCTTCATAAAGGTTAAGGAAAAATGGATACAGGGTAAATCCGGTACAGCCCATTTATCGCGTGCAACACAGCAGAGTTACTAGCAAACTCACATAAGGACCCTTGAGTCACGTTAGAAAGTTTAGAATACAAAGGAGTTCATGACGTACGGTCTTCGAAAGTAAGCATTACAAACCTACTTAGAATGATCAACTGAGGCGCAAAATGCTTTCATGCAAGAAAACCGACTACAATAGGTCATCTATATGCATATCGCTGCCCTTATACTTGTGAAGTCTACCTAGGCGTCCAATGGGTGCCCAACCAGGAAGCAGGCCAACAGGACTCACACAAGGACCGGAAAGATGGAGAACTGCAAAATCGGGTTATTCACCATATGTGGAGCTGGTAGCGTCCCTAATGCAAGAAAGTAACATCCGCGAGTTATCCAGAACCAGAAAAGCGACGTGATACCAAGAACGCAACGCGGAGTTGTGGCTGTTCTATACAATAGGTGCATCATTTAAGGACAGTAGATGGTGAACATCAGCATTGCTGTTGTTGACCTCGGAGCAGTCTCACGGACGCAATATATGTATCAATTTCGCAGTTTTGATAAAGTAAAAGCCTTCGCAATGATACGCGTGTCGACTTACGTTCTCCAAACGGTCAAAAACCTCGAAGTCGAAACCGGATTAGCCTTACAAAAAACAATAATAATAGTCTGACGACATATTTTCAGAGCTTCAGGACTGGGCAATATTGAAGTAGGAACATCGGCCGAGGTGATGGACATAGGCAAGTTCATTACGACTGTCCGAAATTATAACCCAGCCATACATCAGACTAATGTGGCAAGAACGAAATAAAACGATGCCCCCCATTGGGAGGTGATATTTACTGAGCCGAAGATGAGGCAGAAACATGAGTACTTCGATGATCAGTCTTGTATATCCGATTTAGATGCTCTGCACAGAACGCGTGCAGTGCATTGAAGTTTGATACCGCCAGTCTGGGGTGGATGAGTTGCTAGCCAGATCATGTGTTTATCTAAAAATGAGATCCGGTACCTCAGTAGACATGAGCAAAAAACACCTTCTGTACATAACACAGCATTAGTGGCGCCCACGGTTTATCAAGGGGTCATGGAACACCTGTATCTCACAGCTAAATAACAAGCCCAAGTGTCCTCTACAACACTCTGAGTTTGTGTATACTTCCGTTATAGTTTGCCTAATTTTGGATCGTGCCCACTGGGATACACCTAATGTTTGTTGGAGATAAGTAGGCGTTGGAATGTTAAAGGGAGCGAAGTGGAAACAAAGAATCAGCGAATATGCGTTGTGAGAGAAATCTAGATACCGAGGTAAGCAAAGGTATTCCCACCGCACTAATGGATTTAATTCACCAATTCCTGTGTGGTCACTTGATTTCTAAAATACGTATGCGCACCATCGAAATGTGAGTAGAGTACTCGAGTAGGAGTCCATCGTTCGAAGGTCAGTACCATACCAGTATACATGGTATCATTGTCGCATGCACCTCACGCAATCCCACATGGGTTAGCATGTGCGTATCAGAAATGCGAGTGATGATAATCCTGGCGCAACTAGTAGACCAGCAGGAATTACCGTCAAGAACGAATCCGTGCTCCGAAATGGGCTTCCTTTTACAATATACCTGGCACTGCTCATGTTGGAAGGGATGAGGTATGGTTGTCTTCAGTGAGACCAATGGCTGTGAGCAGAATCAACCAGTAGAAAGAATATCCCATCAGGAATGAGCTGCTAGCCGTTCAGGTTTAACAGCAACATCCGAGCGCCGAAAAGTGTGCACTGATCCACAATGAGATATTTCAGGGAGTCATTACGACCTGGTGTGAAAGGGGCGATGAACTTCAAGAACTGCTAACAACACAGAGGACGTAAGCAACTGACGGTTCGATGTTACATACGTGATTCGTAGGGAATCTGAAACAAAGGAAGTGCCGACAATCCGGGCGTGTGAGAAACTTGTTTCAAGGAACGGGTTAACGTACACAAGCTAGGATGGTCAAGTCGGTGTATACGGAAACGGAGAATTGGCTGACTCGGCGGCCATTGGCATAAACGGAATAGCATGAGTCTCCCTGAGGCCGTGGATACGAATGCGCCGTAAGGGTTGCCCTCAAATTGCAGACCGATGTGAAAATCGCTAGGCAAAAAATCAAGTGTTAGATGTCATCAGATGGATGAGCACAGGGTAATGCGTGTGTGGCTTACTTTTCATAATTCGTGACAGCCATTCTGGCTCTGGAAAAGTCCAGAGGGTATGTACAAGCGACGCACGTGGTGCCGGCTGTACAACCGGCCAGTAATCGCCGAAGCCGAAGATCTGTCAGAGGCCTGGAACCAGAAGAGTCGAAACTTATAGAGAGGGAGATGAAGACAAATGTAAATTTATGGATGCCAGGTGACGACATTTAACCTCATACATAACCTTGCAACTGTAAAAATACCTGACCAGAGTCATCAGGTGTAAAAGAATTATCATCACCATCATCAATACACGTTGGGTGGTGGTGAGAAACACACTTCAACCGTTGCGTCACAAAACGAAAATATGCGATACACGAAAAAGCGGGAAACAAAAACTACAAAATACAAAAAGAGACGAACTGTTTAGTAACATATTGTGGTTCAAGAGAGAGATCGTGGTAGGAGGGATAACAGAAGAGAGATAAGAAGGGGAAATGAAACTTCTAATAAGAACGCCAAAGATGTCGACTCTTTGCCAGGTCAACTAATGTATCCAACCTGATGTGTTCACCATCCTATGGTTCCAAGCCCAGCAGTTGTGAGACACTATCCGATGCCAAGTTCGAAGTGAGGACTTCATCCCCTAGAAGTAGGGGGTAGTGAACAAGCCTGTTTTCAGGCGAGTACAACCACAGCTATGTAGGTCAAAAAGGAACACGTGGATTACAGGCGTCAATGAATCAAAATATCTCAGCACTAAGACTATGTGATTAGCCCGACCTGTGTGGGGTCGGGGGGGGGGGGGAATGGCGTGATAGATCTGTTTGTTTGTGTTAGTCTGGGGCCAGGGCAGACAGTGCGTCTGCACGAAATCCTTCTGTGCGCACAATTACGAGTCATGAAGCCGAATTGCAATTGCCTCTGCTGTCAAGAGCAGACGAGATCTGACAACTCTCGTGTGGCATCCTGCCACACAGTAGATCGGTTGGAATGAATCTTTTGAGTTTATTTAGTGGTTAGTATCCACTAAATGTCCCAATACTGCGCTCGTCACACTCTTCTTCACACCACTGTATAACCAAGCGGGAAAATGCTCTCGAGCTCTTACGAACGGTCGCCTGGTCCTCTTTCCAATATACCTTGTTCGACACAAGCAACAGAAATCGTACACATAAAAGGAAATTTGCGACCAGGGTATGCTGTCTTTGAACTGCTGATGCACAACTGGTGTTGAAGTGAAACTTACACGTAAGTCGGCCACAAAGTACGTTTTGACAGTGGCTAGAGCAAGCCTTCGGCTGGTTCATTCCTCTTGACCAACTCACTGCTTCGCCTCCCCACATCTTCTACTATCTGGAGCCCGGTCGCGTGGACGACACGGGTCGCGGGAGTCGGTGTGCAGAAATGTGTAACACGTGGCCCAGCTATCAGAGCTTGTTGTGTGAAACAACAGTGCTGAGTGGTTCACTTGCTCTTCTTGCACCAAATACACGACGCAGAGGACACCAAATATGAGCTAAGCAGTGAAGGTAGGGATGATCGAACCTAATTAGCCTCCTGTTTGTCGACCTGATGGGCCGAGCTTTACAGGAGAGTTGAACGCACGGCAGCGTTGTAAACTCTGCTCTTCATGGTAAGAAGGATGTCGCGCCGATGCTACAGGTGGCAGATTGGTAAAGGCGCCACAAGATTTTGTTAGATGGTTGATTATCATATCTTCGATCCCACGGGAGCTAATATAGCTGCTGACATACTTGAATTTCCGAACAAATTCTAGCTGGTCACCAACAAGGGCCGGCACAGGAGTGGGTCGCCGCCAATCTTGGAGAAGGACTTTGTATTTCGACAGTGTAAAGCATAACCCGAAAAAACTGGCAGCGAATGTTAATTCGAAACATTTGGGAGGTGTAGTCGGCGCACTCGAAGTCCAGAAGCCGATTACCCGGGAGCAGCTCCACCCCTTGCAGGTCGCGTCCAGTGAGCGCAGTCTCCATGAGTTCATCGGTGGAGAAGTTAAAGAATGGTGACAGTGGACATCTTTGTCTCACACCGCAGATATTGAAGGACAGCAACAGCTTGCCATAAGCCCTCATTCTGTCAGAATTATGCGTGTACAGCGCTCTGCTAATGTTTACATATTTTCCGAGCACATGTTTTCTAAGTAGACAGTCCCAAAGGGCACATCGATCAACTGAATCGATGGCAACTTTGATGTCGAGGAACAGGATTACAGTGGGTTGCCGATAGATATCGCGTTGCTGCAACAATTGAAGTAATGTGAAGATGTGATTAATAGGGCTGTGACATTTACGGAACCTGGCTTGCTGCACAAGAAGCAAGCTTTTACGGGTGCCATTAAGACTTAAGAGCGATACGCGAGTATCTTGGAGGCTATTGAGATCACAACAATTCCTCTATGATAGCCGCATTCGTAACGTGAGCCCACCTTGAAATTTGGGACTATAATGGAGCGCCTCCACTGCTGGAACAGTTTCCTGCTCCCACAGGTTCGCTAGCAAGTTATGCAGATATTCTCCAAGAGCAGGTCCCACGCATTTGAAGAAAGCTGGGGTAAGTCGATTTGCTCATGCGGCCTCGTTTAATGGTAACAATCTGATCGACTTCCGCGTTTTAGGGCGGTCGTTGGCCGATGGAGAATCTGATAACTCTGGTTGATTAATCTGCTTTTCAAAGTGTTCTGCCCAATGCTTCAAACGTTTTGACAAACTGTGGATTGGCCGTCCGCCCTTGCCACCTATGGTCTTGCTAACACCAGGTCTTCTAGTGCTCGTTTCGAGTATCAAACGGAATAACTTCCGTTGGTTACTAAGGACAGAGGCCATTTGAATCTTTGATGTACGATGAGACCACCAAGCTTCGCGATCTCGCTTAAGGCCAGGAAGCAGTTTCGCCGGTCATAACCATTGTTTCGTCTTACCGATCGAGTGGAGTATGCAGACGACACGGGAAACAATGCAAGTAACTCCAATGTGAAAACCTGAAGGAACAATGTATGCTGCCATCACAAGCTCAACGTCAGTCAGTCATCAACAGCAGTATATCAATCATTTGATCAGACACTTCTCTCCCATACAATCATGATGACCTACGAAACGAAGAATAATAAGAGAGAAGAGGGAGTTACTGGAAAACCTTAATGTCCTATGCAAACACACAGGGCCAAGGCGGTTACAACTTGTCAACAGCAAACCATCACAAACAGCTGACTACCGCACGAAGATAAGGCGGCATCGGCGGGACAGCTTCCTTGCGGTTTTCACTGACCCGCGTCATAATCAGCCATTACCCCGCACACAACTCAGCAGCAAACACATTTTAAACAGGCAGTCGGACTAGGAGACGGCAGCAGACGCGCCACTGACGTCGAGTGCGAGCCATGTCCTGCAACGTCTTGAGCCAAGCACAAGGTGAGTCACGTGGACTCCAGCCCGGAAGCTGAGACCGACCAACGGCACCTAGCTTGATCGTCAAGGAATTCATTTCCCGCTGCCAAAGTCAACTTCTGTCCACCCCGAGCCTTGCGCCGCCCTATATCTGGCAGACTAAACAAGGCCCTCCTAGGTAAGTGGTGACCAGACATACTTAACATGTGCCCAAGCCACAGCATCCGGTTGGAAATTTACCGCTCCGCTCCCAGGCCACTTTATTCCAGTTTTTTTGTGTCAGATATAGATATTTGTGATCAGAATTTATATAATTCTGTATAATTTTTGATTCTGAATTATCCAGTGATAGATTTAAATCCATTTCTGCATTAATCTACTGGTTTTTGTCTACTAAGTGTTTCGTCGACCCTGGTGTTACCTAGCTCGTGTCCTTTGAAGTAAAGTTTAGCTCGTTGTTTCCATTATTATAGCTGGTTCGTCCTCTGGTGTGTATACTTCACTCTAGTTAATTCTTTGGCGTTTTACGACATTACTACCTGTAATACTTTATCGAAACTTCTGTCCCGCTTCATAACACTGATTTTCTCTTATCGATCGTGATACGAAGGAATACACGAGTCGAACAAGCCAGGACCCCATCGCCTCGGCCGGCTATCCAAACCCATCCGCCCTGATTGGGGCGAACAGAGAGCCAACCAGGAGAAGCGGCCAATGAACGTTAGGTTGAAGTTCTTTTATTGGCTGTAAGTTAACCTTTCCAGAGCTTTCCACGGTCGCTTTAAATATATTGTTCACGAACTTTCCAATTTACCTTTATAATGAACGGTGTGATTTGCTAATTCATTCCTGTTGCCCTGCTCGTCCGATTCGTCTTCTCTCTGTCCTGTGGGGGGCCAGCGACTTCGGGTTTGATTGGGAATCAAGCGTCCATTCAGGCAAGGGACGAACACTTCAACTGGCGACGGTTTGAACCCTAATCAATATGTCCATATCGGCTGACGAGCTCAAGGCCATTCTACTGCAGCAACAAGCACAATTTGAGGCATCCCAACTCAGGCTGATCGAAACTCTTACGCGCCAACTCTCAATCCAGACCGGTTCACTGTCTACAAACGTCAAGCCGTCCGCATCGGTAGACGCCATCACTAACAGCATTACCGAATTTTCGTACGACCCCAATGCTGGCCTAACTTTTGAATCTTGGTTCAAGCGTTATGAAGATGTGTTCCGCGTTGAACTTGGAGACCATGATGACGATTGGAAAGTCCGATTGCTGTTAAGGAAACTTGGAACAGCAGAGCACTCCAGGTATGTCAACTTTATTTTGCCTAAGAACGCTCGAGACTGCACTTTTGAGGAGACTGTCAAATGCTTGGGCCAAATATTTGGAGAGCAGTCATCCATCTTCAACACGCGATATCAATACCTGAAGATCACCAAGGCAGACGCTGATGACTACGTCACTTATGCTGGCATCGTCAATCGCGAGTGTGAAAAATTCTACATCAAATCCATTACGGCAGATCAATTCAAATGCCTGATTTTTATCTGTGGCCTACATTCCCCACGGGATGCAGAGATTCGCACCAGGCTGCTGAGTAAACTTGAACAAAACCAGCAAATGACTCTACAGACCATAACTACTGAATGCCAACGATTGCTGAACCTCAAGCATGACACTCTTATGCTGGAGAAACAACAATCCATTCCAAATCTTAGTGTATTAAAGACAACCTCAAA